AAGTGCCACGAGGCAGAAAAGGAGCACGCGAATAACAAAGCAGAGAAGACACATATGAACCTTTTTGAAACTAATGAGTGCTACAAGAAACATCAATTTCTGTTCCTACTGATGTCAGAGGTACCTGGAATCCCCATAGTAGTATTCCTTATCATAATCATTTAGCGGCTTCCTCTTTTGAACCGATCCGAAGTATACTTGACTTAACGGCATACTACTGCTCTATGACTTTACAGACAGATTCATGAGATGCTCCATAAACACTTTCAGACTGACATCGTCAGTGAATATAACCTCGCCCTGGCCGTCCATACTGTTATGCGTGACACTAGGATTCAGTTTCGCCATCAAGAATCGCGATTGCGACTTGTGCTGGTCACATACAACATATCGAGGAACAGGGAAACGCGAGTCCATGATAAGTTGAGCATCAGCCTGTGGGGCCTCCAGCAAGTTTTTAAAGTTCTCGTGCGCAGGATCTTCATGAAATTTCTGGTCACGCCAAGCAGCGATGGTATCACCGTGAAAGACAACAACGTAAAAGAAAGAGTCCAGGAGCAGAATTGTGTCGGAACGCACACTAGCAGCATCAAGTAATGCTGGTACGGGTGGACCGTTGAACGAATACGAGAGAAGTGACGGCTGAATCATCACAAGCGAATTTGTCGTGCTTTCGCGTAGCAAGCAATGACGATAGTACGCACTTTCGTCAGGTGAGTAACCGAACACAGTTAAAAACTGTGATCGACGCAGGTGAAACATAAATTGAGGGAAAATTGCAAACTCAGGTGATAAGCGGAATGAAGAAGGATCATCCTTGCGATAGTCGGCAAAGCGGGCGGCGAGACGAATAAGCGATCGATCAATCCAGCGCATTATATCGAGTTGTTCTTCTCCCTGATCCGATCTATGGACGGCAATACGCGCTAACAAAACGGCAGCAGCTTCTTGGTCAAAGCCTCGGCCAAGCGTAGCAGTGTCATTCGGGTCAACATTCCAAGGTCCGCAAATCGTTGTCACACGTGTGCGATATCGTCCGCTGGCATGCTGATAGCGTGTAATTAACTGAATATAGCGCGCCTTGCCGGGTGCAAGCGGCGTCTGATTTGAAATGTCGAAATAGATAGCTAGTGTGGTGTTGGGATCAATACCGCCCATTGACCAAGCATTCGTACCTCCAACTCCAATCTCTACTTCAGAAACATTCTTTGGAGCTGCACCTTGGCGCTTCAAAGGAGCGCAAGGGCCAATCGCACCCGCCACCTTAAATTCGCGGCTAGTGAGCACCTCGACTGAGGCTGCAAAGGCCATCGTAAGTTGGTCTCGGTCACAATCCGCCGCTTCGTCCGAAAACTTGCTGAACATGCGGCGGAATGATTCTCGAAAGACTGATTGACCAAAAGAATCAGCAAGGACAATGACACCACCAGTCTTCTGCACACATGCTGCCATTTCCATCACACCACTCTGGTCAAGCGAGCACGCAAATATATCAACCACGTGACTCGAAGCAACACACCGGGACGCCAAATTGTTGTAGTGGACTAAAGCTTTTTTAGTGAGCGGTGCTTTGTCCTTTTGCAGATCTGTGTGAGAGCGAATGTCTTCCTTGCGGTCACGACCAACGATAGCACCCGGACCGATAGTCGGAGGTCCACCAACAAACATCATGATGCGAGCGCCTTGACCACGAAACGTCGCTTCTAGAAGTCCAACGCATACCGACATGGCAACCCCCGTGCATCGCTGGGGTCGTTGATCAGCCGCCACAGGCCACGGATCACGCTGAAGATCTTCGAGAATGGATTCTAATGTAAAGCCGCACTCAAACACTGGGAGCAGAAAACGAGCCGAATTACTGGTTTGCAGTTGAGGCTGCTGGGTCTGACCAGGTATCTGCTGTTGCTGTTGCTTACGCGTGGCAGCTAAACCGAGCATATCGTGCACCTGCTGGGCTGTAAAGTCTTTACTACCACGAAAAACGTGCGACTTGGGCACTTCGGGGAATCCCAGCTCGTGTACATGCACCATAGTGCCATACGTGACGAGACCAATGAGTGCATCAGGTGGAAGCTGATTCAGTGTCTGTTGGATAGAATCCTTAAGCTCCTCAAGCTCCTCTTCGGGAAGACACGTATCAATACAGAAGACAAAGACAGGTGGTCCTGCCTGTCGGTTCTGAAGCTCATACTCAAGCGTTGTATATTGCGGAATCAGTTCAGCTGGAAGATTCTCTTGTGTGATATTCTCAGCGTAGTGTGGCGGGAAGTGGTTGCGCGTCACGCAGAATGGACACACCCATAGTTTGGATACAAAGTCAACTTGACAAAAGGGATTAAGAACTGCGGCGCAAGCTTTGCAGTGAATTGGATCGTACTCGACGGCGGGGGGCATACCATCAATAGGCTTCAGCGGCTGATAAAGACACCCTGTGGGCATCACGCAACGCGTCTGTTCCAATTTAGTGCAGGGCCACGAATTCCAAGAGAAACGCACTCCATCCTTTGCCTCCATGGCATGAAAATCCCACTCCTGCGGCTGCATGCCAGGCTGGTAGCCACCTTGTTGACCATACTGGTTATAACCTCCCTGTTGGCCATACTGATCGTAGCCACCCTGTTGTTGTTGACCGTACTGATCGTACCCGCCCTGTTGCTGGCCGTAATGCTGCTGTTCATAGACGCCTTGGGGCTGTTGACCGTACTGTTGGTGTTCATATCCGCCCTGTTGTGTATATTGCTGTTGTTGTGATTGTTGCTGCGATTGCTGTTGTTGACCGAAGCCACCTTGCTGGTGTTCGTAGCTACCTTGCTGCATCGTTTCAATCAGAAATTACGGGCTGCGCCACGTGTAACGCAGCACTTTGTACATAAAAATAATAGTACTATTAATATCATAGTCAATTCGATCTCGCTCAAGACATTCAAGGCAAAATTACAGTTGCATCGATAAAATTAAGAACACTATCCTGACCGAGAGAACACATTTAATTCTAGGTCGAAATTATGGAACTCGTACTGGTCCCACCTGATAATGATACGTAGTCATTTCCCAGGATAATGGGATATATCACGGATGTCAATACATCCCCACTACTCTCACCTCAATTGTTCATGTAGGTGCAGTCAATTGATTTATCAAGTTTGGCAAACTATGGCGTTGGAAGAGGGTTGGTCATGAAGTCTCCAATCCGGTCAGCGGATGGGATGTATTAGATTGCGAGATCCATCGTTTTGGAAAGCTTTACGCACGAAATGGTAGCGTAGATCGATGTGCTTTGTTCGAGAGTGTGCTATCACCATCTTATTGTCAATGTTCACAATTGTGGGGTGTTTCCAAGCTCCCCGAGAAGATAGCAGAAAGCAGAGAAAAGAGCCACCGCTTGCTGGCGCTTCGACTTGTAGATCACTGGAGCACTGGCCAACAGCACTAGAACTCTCGATGTCGAGAGCCAAGTCAAAGTGTGACTTGCCCAATTCCCATCCACAAATGATCGGCATGGGAGAAGTCACCACCGCGGTAGCAAATACCGAACGTGCACGTGCCAAGCAGGTAGTGTAAGACTCGAGTTGTGACTTTCTATGGGCCTCTGAGGGGTTCTCAAGAAACTGTGGAAGTTCACGTAATGGGTGGCACGCAGATAGTTGAGATGGGCAGCCAAAGTAGTTGAGGAACAGTTGAAGTGGAGATTAAGCAGTCTGAGTGGGTTGGTCAGAACATGACATCCGTGATACAATGTTAGAGGGCGACTGGGGCAATTAAGTTTTAGAAACGGTCGATGACGGTGGGGTTGCCAATTTTATCGACTCATCATGAGATTTTGGCGGTTTGTTGGTCACATCATTCTTTTACATGCTCTCAGCTACTTGACGTGTAATCAAATACGAAACAGCAATGGTCTCTGGTGTCGAACTTCTTCCGCTTGGTCTTTTCAACATGCTCATGCACCCGCAAGCCATTGGTCTTTCACATCAATTTGGATGGCGTTGGGTCATGGCGGGCTGCATTTGGGAGCTAGTTGAGGATGTATACAGCAGTTTCAGTCGTGTCATCCTACCAAATCCTTAGGCAAATGCAGATATTGCAACCCATCTCAGCAACGGTGCGATTGGCTGGTTCCGCGAATCATTCTGTCGAGGCAAATATATTGAATAGTGCTCGCTTGCGCGTATAATCCGTTAAAATGAATTGCTGCAGAACTTTCCAAGGTTATCTGTTCTTACGCAACGAATACGGCTATGATACGAAACTCCATGAAGCGCCTTGAACTCCTTAAAATTTACGAAGACCTCGCTTTTAAACTTAATCTGGTACACCTCGATGTATCGAGACCACTCATAGAAAAACAACACGAAATTTTTGAACTCAACACCAGTTGAACCCATCGAACCACATCTGCTCCAATGGTGCTGCAGTATTAACCACATCGTTGTCTTTCGTGACGAACTTGGCGGTAGTCATCTTGCCGCAAATGCAACCTCGAAGTAGATCTTCCGAAGGCGATAATGACGGAAGCCGCGGAATTCTCCCCGCAATACTGTGCAGCATGACAAAGACGCGCATGCCGAAGGCTTAATTCATCCACAGCTACAGACACAAAGTTAGCCTCAGCCACAGTGCACGGGTTGGTACTGGCAAAGTCAGTATGTTCAGCTTTCTCGATTTTGTGCTGAGAATTTAATTTCTATAACAAAGAATTGTGTATTTGCCTCAAACTGAGCTTCCGCGCCGCGCGCTGTAAGCGGCTGATACACAGACCACCTTGTGGTCGAGACCGTAAACGTAAAGGACGTCCTTTACAAATGCAGTGTTACCGTTCTCAAGTATCAGGTTGATGGAGCCGGCGCCACATACATGCAAGCGTCCCCACTAGCAACGAGAATGTCTGTATATTGTCTGATTGGACGATAAGGCAGGAGATGTCACGGTCAAAAGATATGTGAGAATATCTGTAGAAACCGAGATTACAATGGCTTTAGCGGCCTCTGCTTTTTCATACATTGCTCGCACTTGTCCCGACTTCGTCGCAGTCAAAGCAGTGACCTAAAAAATTACCAGTCGATGTTGACGACTTCGCATTAAAACGTCCACTTCAATTTCGGAGCAAGTTGTGATCATAGTCACTGGTAGAGTTATGCCGACCATGAGGTCCTCCGTGGCGGCTGTGCGACGGGTCACGGGCAACACTGGCTCGATACGCACTTTCTTGCCTCTCACGCTTCTACATCGTATCCTCCTCGCAACGTAGCGCCGCCTTCACTTCATAGACTACCATGCTCCCTCATGCCTCGATACTCTTCACAATTGCGTCGTATCCAGGTGAAAGGCTTCGCAAAAATGATAGCCAAACGCCCATTTTCCTTGACTTTGTCATCCACAGACGCTAGATCATGCACAGGTCATCAAACTTGAGAAGGTGGCCCACTAAATTGTCGCCAGTAGTCATCACAAACTCATGAAGTTTCTTTATGACCTGAACGGTTGTGCAACTCCGTTTAACGCGTAAGTCCATCCGCGTGTTGGCGGCAGACGACGAGTTACGGATCATCGACTGTCGATTCGGTCTCAGCATCCTCGCAATGAGAGTCAGCACGCCACAACACTAGCTGTCTTCCACTCTTCAGTCATCTATGCTGTAGCAGTTCCTTCCAGGCGAGTACCATATGCCCAGAAAACTTTCGAAGGCAGCAGATCTCGTCGGTGAGAATCTTGCTGTTGCTTGTCATGGGCTAATAACCTATATATGCTCGCAGAGTACGGTTGCTCACACGACGGTGAAGAGAATGGTGTAGTAAGATCTCTCTACCAAAGTAATTCTAGCCTAGAAAACAAACGTTGAGGATTTGATACATTGCCGCTCATGCCGTAAGTTGTGGTAGTACACTGCACTTAAATATATGTAAATCTTAGGCAAAAAGTTAGCAGTTCTTGCACAATTCCACAAGAAAATATCTCTATTTTTTAGCTCTACATGGAAGCTGCATTCGCAGAAGAAGTGCGTTCGATGCGCTATGCACTACGTTTGCGTCTCAAGTACGAGTCCCAACAAATGTGTCCCACCAATAATGTAAGAGATGTAGAGACGGAATGTGCGGTATCAAAGCTAGAGATACTTTTTTCGCGTACGGTGCAATTTGGTGAGAACCAGTCGGGGCTACTACTCGGAGCTAGAGGTAGCGACCGGCACGCTATCGTGATGCATGCAATGCGCAACTTGCGCAACAGATTTGGAAGGTTCACAGTTGTTTATCTCAACGGTGTCATCTTACAAAACGAGCTCGAAGCTTTAAAAGAGCTCACGGCACAGCTCACTTGTACAACGACAGTCAAAAACTCAGTATGCGATTCAGATTGATATGAATTTAATGTTGGAGTAAGTTGACGGATTGATGGTTATATGAAAAGGCACTGTCATATTGGAATATGTACGAGTATCTACGCGGCTTGCTTGTCGCTAAAGCACAGATTGGAGACCACGTCATTATTATCCTTGATGCACTGGAGCAGTTTATCCACGAAACCAATAATGCAAAGCAATTATTGCTGTACACGTTGCTAGATTGGCTTCAGGTATGCATTCTCACCTGAAATTTTTTACAATCAACTTTCTCATACAAAACTTGCTTCTTACATTAGGCAAAAGATATCAAGATGGGTGTGCTAGGTGTAACAGATAACTACAATATTGTTGACAATCTGGAAAAGCGTGTGCGCTCTAGGTAAAGATTCATGCGAGGAACAGGTTGGCTTCAATGCGTCGATTTGAACTTATTGCTGCAGTTGATGTACAGATTCTCAAATCTTCAAATTGTTATTGAGCGACCCTCCTTTGCTCAGATACGGCAACATCTGATCCGCGTGCTTTCTATCGACAACTTCCAGTGGGATTCGTGCAGTGACATACAAAAACCGTCGAGCAAATACGTCGAGTCTTTTTGCAAGTGTTTAACCGAGCTGCTTTCAAAGCAAGGCAAATTTCTTGCAAGCCTAGAGTTCGATTACGACATTGGGAAACCTCAATCCTTCTTCTTTCGCCTTGCCTCTGCTGCCATATGTTACTTAGATGCTAAAAATCCCATTCTTACAGCACACCACTTTCAATGTGCCAGGCAATTGCTGGAGCAAGATCACCAATTGGCTGTACTAGAAACTGTGACAGAACACGGAATTGCATTGTTAATCGGCATGGGGCACTTGGAGAAAGCTGATCGACGCGTCTTTACTCTAGAGATGATATACGCTCGGTGGGAAAATTTTCTTCGCCAGCACGATATGCTCGCGCAACTACCAACACGGAGTGAAGCGCAAAAAGCATTAGATAATCTGCTGCGATTAGAGCTCGTCAAGGATGCAGGAGATGCATTTCACATTGAGCGTGGCGTGGATAGTACAATGAAGTCGGACACATCGAACTTACTTCAGCCCGAATATCGAGCAGTACACCTGAACTTTGCGCCTCGTACACTTGAAGGTATGTTGCGTAATGGAAGCATCAAGTGTTCGACACTTTTAAAAGAGTGGGCTATTAATGGAAGCTGAATTTTCTAACTATAAGTCATAAGTGGATGCACATTAAAATCTGCTTCATACTACACCAGACACCAGCCTATGGCTGCTGATAAGTACATGAATGACAAGACTTACCGTGGCTATCACTTGAAAATCTCAACGGATTGCTGCAGTCGCTCTACCGAAAATAGTCCCATCTTGTATTACGTGTACGCATAAACTCCCTTGATTTTTTGGACGTATATGTTACTTATATATGTGTCTGTAATTGATCACTTTCAAAAAGGAATCAATCATCATCAATTCTTCGTAAAGTTCGTCTTGGTCGACCATTGGATGCTGCACTAAGCGATGTTGACAACACTTTACAAATACAATGTCAACCCAAAGCTCTGGTGTATCAGCAAAAACCGTTGCTTAGATCTGGACATACAAATCTAGCAGCTTTTGCGCGAAAAAATACGAAAACGCTAGCACACACCATCTCTCCTTCACCCTTCATTTACTCAGGCTGTCGACGTGAACGCAATTTGGAACCGCTTCGAGATTTCCCAGTGAACCGAGCACCTCAGCCCCGAAGCTTGCGACGATCTCGTGCAAAGGGCTCGCCCCCGTTCACTGACACTGCGAAGAGTTCTTATTCTTTTCGAAAGACAAACTGTAATTTTACTTCGTCCGCATCGAAATTGGAACACGATCGGAATCACGCATCACGTATAATTGTCCGATTTCTTCGTCGAATTTGTCGGCTCGATGATCGGGTAGAAAAGGCTTTACTGCAGTGCTTGCAAGCGCAACGAGATAAGAAGTTGGAAAGATATCCTTTTGTGTTGACGGATAATGAACAGCTTCGGATTTTGCAACTATACAACCCACGCCTTTACGGCTCACATCACTGTGTATCACCGTTTGCGTTGAGCTCAAAGTCAATGAGGTCCCGAGTTCCTCAAATGGAAGCGCAAAAACGTTCCAGGCAATCTGAAATATTGATGAGGATGAGGATAGACACGGAACGATTGAACCAAACGTCAAGACAAAAGACGCAAGCATTGATCGGCATGATGACTACACATCAAAATGATTACCAGCGGCATGTTCCTGAATTACAATTGCGACCTAAGACCGTTCTCGGTCGTGAAGGTTGCTGAGAATAAGAAATCAAGCAAACTTATTGCCGCTTTAAGACAACACCACCGACGATTTTTCCTATCAAGGCTTGTTGGCACACCTTTGACCTGATAAATCATCGACAGGGCGTATACTACAAAGAGCAACTCGAGAACTGGTTGCACAAATGTGAACCGCTGAATCGATTAGTGAACACTGTCTCGCACTTCTGCAAGCTGTGTGCCAAGCAGGAACCATTCTGGTTTGCGAGTCGATCCTGCTGGTAGTTGCTCTTTGATCAAATGAAATGGTTCATATATCTTTATAAATTGTCCTTCGGATAAATTGAGGCAATCGGTGACTCGAATGCTAAATTGTGCTTTCACTGCCACATGGTTCTTTCTTAATGCACTCGCATCACTTTTTTCCAAGTCTGCTGCTACTTCGTAAATTTGGCATTCGTACAAATCGCAATCTGGCATCTTTAGACACCGTCGCTTTAGTCGAACAACTATCCACGCTCGGGCTTGGATAGACTCAATGACGCCAAACATGCCCTTTGTGTGACTATTTTGTTCTGGAAGCAAATGATGGCCTTGCGAGCGAATTAACGTGAGATCTCGGTCACGTTTACGAGTCGCTTTGCGAATAATGTCACCCAAATTTCCACGAATTTTAACGATCAAAGCGTCCGCAGCTTTCCGACCGATTGGTGCTTCAACTGAAAATGATTTAGGTGGTGAAAAATGTTCTGGTGCAAAATTTTCAGCTCGCATATGCTGATCAGTGTCACAGATTGCATCGGTCGCAATGTTTTCGTCTATATTAACCTAACATTTAAATCACAGGAACGCATGAGATGTATAAATTACATATAGCAGTGCCACAAGTGAGCCTACATTCGACGGTGAAGAATTCTTGATCGTCATTGATTGCTGCTGAAATATTGTCGTAGCGCGTTGTAGAAAATTCGCCAGCGACTTATTTTTCGTGACTGCACCTTTACTATCGAAGCTGGCGTTCATACTTGTTTCGTTTCGCATTATTACTGGCTTTGATGAATCCGCTGGCATCGATTTTCGCCTGCGTGTAGCACCAAAATAAATATAAAAAACTCACCTTTACTTTTGCATTCTCTAAAGCTCCGACCTTTTCGCTGACGACGTCTCCAATTGTGGGCTAAATTTCTTTTGAATTACTCCTAATGACTTGCGACGATTTTTGGTATCAGTAATTGAGGGTTTCCTTGTTCTCCAGCGTTCTGGCCTTGAGCTTGACGACTCAAATCCAAACTTTTGCTTGATACTTCTACTAGCTCGAGTACTCACATCATCGCAATTCGAACGATATTTTATAATTGAGCGTCGGTTGTCTTTAGTGAGGGTGTCGCTACTTGGATGATCCCTTTCGATGGCATGTGTCACGTCGTTGATAGCAGCGAAATTCGCGGCAACCGACAACAGGGAATTTCTACGATGGTTTTGTGGGTCTTTGTGTTGATCTGACTTATTCTCCTCGACGTTCTGCTGCTTTATCGAATTATATGTTGGTTTGTGTTGATCTAGCAGCGTCGCAAACGGATTTCCATTCTCCTCTACATCGTCTTCGCTGTAGCCTAGAATTGTAAGAAATTAAAGGTTTGTACAATTACTATACAAATAAGCTTAGACATTGGTAGCGCACCCAGATCGATAAGAAGCGGTTGCTGCTGACGGGAAAAGATCTGGCTATTTTCTCCTACCTCTTTTGCTGTTGATGTAGCCTCAGCACGAAGCAGCGAAAGGTTGTTTACAGAGTTTGTAGATAGCATCAAATTGCGATCGTTCGAGTCTGCCTCCAGGTCATAATACACAACGCGTTCCTCTTCTTCGTCAGGCACCAAGTTTCGGCTGTGCATCTCAACGCCTTGGAACAATTTTATTAACAGACCTTCGCAATTTGTGCTAGTATAGTATACATAGAACTGTTGTCATACATATACATTGTTTCCCTATGACACATTTGATAATAAAAAGAAAAACACATTTCACAAAGCAGCTTTTAGATGATGATTGAGCAAATTCGTACATATAAAGCTTTAGATTAGGATATTAAATAGTACAGATTGTAAAAGACTATACATCACAATAAATTTATAATATACACATGAGACGTGGCTTTAATGCCGTTCGATAGAAACAAGGGACCACGTGTCACAGACTTGACTGAGCCTTTGATGCAGCCTGTCATATCCACTTTTCCAGGGTGTGTTGTAAGTAAGCTAGAAGCACTATCGCATTAATTGCTGAAATCATGGCAGCGCTACGCACATATCGTCCACGTACGTGGCGCGGATCAAATCCGTCACTGACGACGTCACCGTCGTGACATGAGCAAGCTCATAATACGGTCTGCGTGACAACGGATCAGCCAAAGCACTCTGGTTTTCTGGCTTATACTTCACCTCGAAAATATATTTTGCGAAGAAGGAGAGTGACGTCATCCTCTGCGAGAGGCGAGGTAACTTAGTCGCAGTGCGTAGTGATGCATGATCTGTGTAGATCACAAACGGCTTGGAGCCGAGCAGGTGCACCCTGAATTCGATAAGTGCATACTTCGTCGCAAGTAACTCCTTGTCGAGGAATTGGTAGTTCTTCTCTGCAGCCGTGATCTAGCAAGATTCAAGCGCGATCACCCGATCACGCCCCTGGGCGTCTGCTTGCAGCAGTGCACAACAGATGACAAAGTCCGAAGCGTCACAGACGACACTGAAAGGACGATCGGGGTCTGGTAACGCCAGTATTGGTGCATGAAGGAGACTATCTTTCAAAAGCCCTCGGAGTCCCAACACAATTCCGCATCCTTCTTAAAGATATTCGATACTGGCCGTGCCATTTCTCCATAATTCTCGCTAAACTTGTGCAAGTAGTTGGCGAGGCCAAGCCACTTGCGCGAGTTCTTTTGGTTTTTTGGAACCGGCTAGTCCACAATGGCTTTGACTTAGCGGCATCCGCTCGAAGGCGACACTTCCGATGAAGCACCCCAAAAAGAAAGATCTTGTTCGGCGCCGTAGATGCACTTATCTGCATTATTATTCGCGCGCATGCACTCGAGCGCCGCTCTCGCATGGACGACATGGCTCTCTTCATCTGTCCTCCCGTGGCCCGCACGACTGTGGAAGAAGATGTCGTAGCAGTTTGTATGTGCCTACGCCCGGTGAAGCCTGAACAACTGCGCCAAAGGATGATCAAATGTTGCTGTTGCATCTGACAGCGCTTGGAACATTACTAGCCCTTCTTAGAGCATGCCACTCGAAGTGTTCACCGCTGTCAGCAGAATATCACTCGCTCTCATGAGCAATTGGTAATACCCATCGAC